GATATCATACTGAATGCTTCATGAGAGTGAACACTAGCTAAATGAATATCTGTGGTTAGCTATTCAATTCATATATTTTTTGTACATTTTGCACACTTTGTTTTAAACAATAATGTGTATGAATACATAGTATTCTGAAAAACAGAATGTACCTCTATATTCTATTTCAGATTCCTATTAAAAACATTGATATGCAGTAAATTTGAATCAATGTCAATTTTTTATTCTTAGAATCTTCTAGTAGTTTATCTTCTGAGTATATCTCACTACTCGACATTTCTTCATTGTTTCTCAGCTATGAAGGATGATTGTTATCATCATTCAATCATCACTAGATAATTCTATAGGACATAGACGAACGCTAAGAGTTAGAAAAGATGAAAGGTTTCTCAGTGAAATTTATTAGAATCACTATCATTCGAAATAAATGCGAAATAACATCAATTTTTTCTATGGTATAGATTAGGTAACATTACTTAGTCACAAAATATCTGTGCGATATTGATTATATAATTACGTAATGTTTTTATCATATCATTGTCTTTCTCTTTCACATTGCATTGATGAGCTGTTTTCTTATACTTGATTGTTAAACAAAAGTAATTATTTTTATACATTGAATTAGTTTAACAGCAGATGAGAATTTATCCATAACTATTTTAAATTTTATTACAAAAATGTGAAGCTTTTCGAGAGTTCAACTCTCATCATCAGACAAAAAGATAAAAATGATTAAAGTTTAGATTTAAAAGTACAAATAATAGAATTAGTCATATATAAAGCCATTTTGCTGAGGCAAAGACCTCTATAAAAAGGACTAAATTTGTTTCTTAATATTAGGAAACAAATCCCCCATGGCACTTCACTATACACCTGCTTTCATCTTGACTTTTGCTTTAAATAATGACGAACTATCCGGATAAATGACAAGAGGAACAGAACGCACAGTTCGATTAAGTGAAGGTTCAAGTTTTGAAATTTGTATCGATTCACGTATCAAAAGACGGTAAAGTTTATAATCTTTGCTTAATAATTTCCAGTTACCCCAATTAATCGAATGTCCTGTCTCTACTTCATGTTGATAAATTGCTGATTGAGAAATTTTTAAATTCTTTTCAACTGATAATTTAGAAATATCTTCTATGGCTTCATCGAGAATTTTTTCATTTAATGCATAGTTAACAATACGAACATTTCGTTTAGGGCGTTGAGAAACCATTGATGTAGTTG